AAACAGTAAAATTTTCACTTAGAGTTTACTCATTAATAAGTATATGGATTTGTATTATTCTTTGTTAACAAAGTTATGGCCTTTTGTCTTCCCGTGTGTCTTTCTTCCCCTTGTATGATTTTCCAAGGTCAGAATAAAATAGGCCCATATTCAGTATGTGCAATTAGCTTTAGCCACACATTGTGTGCTTGTGTCTCTGCTGTGTCTACTGTTTTGAAAAAGTTGCTTTAGGAAAGCACGCACCACCCTCACTGGCTACATGTCTTCAAGTCTGATCCTGCTTCTTCTCTAGAACTAGCCCAGACAATCATGTTTAGGGTTCTAGCATTCTAGAGTGAAGAAAGCTCCCCGATTTTCAGACAAGAACTATATATTTATATCACTTTATTTGTTATGTTGGTTTGATCTAAACCTGGCTAGGAAGATGGCTCTGTCAGACAGGTGCTTACTGTGTGATCCTGAAGACTAATGTTAGATCTGTAGAACCAATGTTAAAACTGGCCAAGCTGGTATGCTCTTGTAATCCCAGTTTTGGGGAGAGACAGGCAGATCCCTGAGGTTTGCTGTCTAGCTATCTTAGTCTTAATCAAGTACCAGGTCAGTAAGAAACCCTGTCTCAAAAATTGGTACATGGCTGGGCATAGTAGCACACACCTTTAATTCCAGCATTCAGGAAGCAGAGACAGGCAGATCTCTGTGAGTTGCAGGCCAGCTTGGTCTACATAGTGAGTTTCAGGACAGCCAGGGCTACATAATAAGATCCTGTCTCAAAACAAACAAACAAACAAACAAAAAAATAAACAACACAAAGGTGCATGGTGTGTGGGGGGAAATGAAACCCAAAGTTGACATCTGGTTTCCAGAGGTACATGCACGCATACCTGTATGAACATACATGTATGTACATCTGTACACATATACACAGTTTTAATTTGTCTTTTAAACATTTTTGTTATATTTAAATTTATAATTGTATGTGTGTGTACACGCACATATGTGTGGAAATCAGAGATAGCTTGGGGAAGTTGGTTCTCTTCTTTCTTTGTGTGTGTTCCAGGGATTGGACTCAGGGAGTCATATTTGTGGCGAGTGCCTTTACTGGCTGAGCCACCACACTGCTCTTACTATTTACTTCTAGTTAAGAATTCAGGGTACTGTATAGGTATTGTTTGTTGTAAATGAAAACTTTACATTTAAAAATAATTGAGATGTTAAGTTAATAAATATTTTCCCGTGGGACCAGACTTATACAGAACATTAGTACACAGCAGATCGCTTCCTTTAGGAGGCTGGAAAAAAAAAATCCCAAGATTTTCAACTCGAAGATGTACCCACTAACAGCTGTTTCCTATAATTGGAGCAATTCGCATGCAGAATAGAGAAAATGAATTATACAAAAGGGTTCAGAGAGGAGCAGCCATAACTCCCTGGCGGGTGCCGCAGTCCACAAAATAAACTTCCTTCAAATGACACTGGCATTATTAATCCCAAGCAACCTGGACACCAAAACCGCTGTCTAAAAATAATTCCATTAATTCTTTGAGGATTTCATACACTGAAATTGCCATTTTCAAGGGCCCCACAGTTTAGAAAGGCCACATGTGTAATGATGCCAGCCACCAGCACTGGGTGGGGCTGCATGTTCACCCCAGTCTTCAGGTCATTTGAATATTCATGAAGATTGGCAGGTGGTCAGGGGATGAGTGACCGCCACTATTCTTAATCCTTTTGCTCTTTCTTTTTCTTTTAAATAGAAAAATGTTCAAGATAAAGTGAGTTGCTTAATTCTTGACTTTTTCTGATGTCATTTTGGGAGATGATTTTTATCAGGTGGGCTAACAGAGATAGTCGGATGTTAACATCTCGGCTTCAGCTTGTTTGGTGGTACATTTCTATCTATAATTCTTGAGATTGAGGCAGGAGGACGGAGAGTTTCAGGCTAGCCTGCGCTACACGGTGAAACACTGTCAAGAAGAAACAAAACAGACCCTCGTGGTCCACTCACTTTTGTGTAGCCATATTCCTGTCTGTGTCGTGTGTAGCCAATATTCATGTGTATCACCAACATCCCTTTAAAAATAAAACTCCCCATGTTTGCAGTGTTCCCTGCCTGCAGTCACCTCGCACACTGCAGCAGTGCTTGCAGGTGTATAGATGGTGCTTTTTCCCTGTTCGAGGGGAAGGAAGCGGGAAACTGCCTACAGATCTCCATCCCAAAGCTGTGGCTCACAGTCCTGTGTTCCAAACCCAAGCCTTTCTTCTTCTTCCTGTTTCCATTTTGTTTTCATCTGAGAGGTTATGTGGTGATTGGCTTGCGTGAGAATGGGTTTCTACGTAGAGCCCCTTGCTACATTGTGTGTATGGATCATCTACTTGGTTTGTTCAAGCTGTCATGACAGAGTACAGTGGACCTAATAGCTTAGAAACAGGACGTGTCTATTGCTTGTCATTCTGGTGGCCTGAAGTCTGATGTCAAGGTGCCATCACGTGCAGATTCTGATGTGAGGGTTCTGTTTAGGATTGTTGACTAGCGTCTTGCTATGTGCAGATTCTGATGTGAGGATTCTGTTTAGGATTGTTGACTAGCGTCTTGCTGTGGGTTCACAACGGGGGGGTGATCAGGGTGCCATCACGTGCAGATTCGGATGTGCGGATATTGTTGAGGATTGTTGACTGGCGACTTGCTATGTGCAGATTCTGATGTTTCGGATTGTTGACTGGCATCTTGCTATGTGCAAATTTTGATGTTTCGGATTGTTGACTGGCGTCTTGCTATGTGCAGATTCTGATGTTTAGGACTGTTGACTGTCTTCTTGCTGTGGGTTCCCATGGGGGAAGTGATCAGAGAATCTTTGGACCACACTCCTACTAGTAGTTCTTTGGGAATTTTGCACAGAGAGTTGAGTTTTGACCATTTTCATCCCCTCCCCTATCTTCTCAGCTTCACCATCCCCCCACGCCCAGTTTGTGTCCCCTCTTCTCCTGATGCGCATCATGCCCAATTGATGCGGTCCAGATGTGCACAGGTCTGTAACCTGCTAGAGCATGGTCGATCTAATAGGGGCCAAACTCCCGAAAGTTCTCACTGTGAATAGCCCTTCAGCTCGGAGTGAGGTTCCATATCCTTCTCCCCTCTGTCCTGTGGTTTGTTTGCTCTTGGTTGGGTTTGCATAGGGGTTACCGCAGCTGCTGTGACGTCATGGATGCAGCTACATGTTGTGTTCAGAGGGTATTGTAGCTCTATGTTCATCCACTGTCTCTGGCTCTTACAGTCCTTTCCTCTCTCATCTGCAACCACCCCAAACCTTGGGAAAAGGAGGTACGTTCTAGGTGTTCCATTACTGTCTCATATTCTCTGCACCTTAGCCCGTTGTGTTCATTGCATCTACTGCACATAGAAGCTTCTCTGAGGGTTGGGAATACAAAGTAAACTCATTCATGAAGGTTTCACCTCTTTACTTGATCACCTCTCAAAGGACTCTTGTGATACCATTAACATCAGAGATTAGAATGTCAACACAAGAATTTGGGGGAGCACAGACATTAAGGATATGGCAATCACCATGCTTGTTCTTCAAACTGTTTAGAGGAGGATTCCAAGGTTCAGGGAAGTGAGGCAACTTTGTAGAGGTAGACTGAAGATTGAACAAGATCGTAGATTGGCACTCAGGTGTGCCAGCTTTCGCACCTTGATCACCTGACCTAGCTTTAACTTTCCAAGGTAAAATAGTGTTTGTTTTTACTCTGTCCATGAGGCAAGGGGAATAAACAGGCTGGGTTTTTAGTATGTGGTTTGAAGGAACTCTGTTTAGCTTCAGAGTAGTGTTTAGATAATTAATGCTTCAGGTGGGTGTAAGGAGGTACTCTGTGACCCAGGAAGACTTGGTGAGGAACTTGCGGTTTGGATAAGGAAAGAAGAGTGGAGGGAAGCATTGAGCGTAGGTGGGAAGTGCTGGGCATGTCTGAGGGAAGCCAGAGTTTGAAGCCCAAGGGTTGTGGTGGGAAACACTGTAGGGAAGCCTGGGCTGCTGCTGAGGGCTTGGTGTCCGGGAGTGCATCTTGACATTTAGTAGATCTAGTTTTACGTTGTTACACTATGGAACCACCTTCTTTTAAAGATGCTTAGTGTACTGTGTGTGTGTGTGTGTGTGTGTGTGTGTGTACGCGCGCATGTTTGAGCATATATGTGTACCACATGCATGCAGGAGGCTGTCAAGCTTAGAAGAGGGCAACAGATCCTTTGGAACTGAAATTGTAAGGTGCCATGTGCATGCTAGATAATGAACCCAGGAGCAAGTGCTCCTGACTCTCCAGCCCACAATACTTAGCAAGAGTAAATTCAGTTGGCTTGTGATTTAGAGAGTTGATTTAGAGAAATAAATTTCATTTTCCAAGGTCTCTAATTCTCCAAGATCTTGCTTTAATTTTGTTTTAGTCTAGGAAATATGAAGATCGTTTATAGTCTTACCATGTGATTGAGTTTTGGGAGTTTTGTGGTGGAATCTCATTAACCCTTATTTTTTGGTGGCTTGGGGAAGATGGAGACATTGAATCTTAGTATGCATGAGAAATGACAGAGCCTGGGTTTCAGATCTCTGAGGAAGGAGACCACACAGGACATCTCAGAGAACGGCAGCTTAGGCAGGGAGTGAGTTTCCTCAACTCCCAGTTTTGGCTGTTTCTTTACTTAGAAAATTCTGTAGTTCATTTAGTCCTTTTTAGCTTTGATTACAGGCCCTGTCCTGTTTCTGAGAATTATAACTAAGTCACTCACTGTGACCATGGTTGACTGTAATGAGCTATACTCCACCCAGATTTTAATTAAAAATATGGATAGGGAAGTTATTGTTTTAGGTCCCTGAGAAGAAGGAATCAGAGACTTTACTGTGAAATGGGAAAGAGTTGTGAAAATTGGGCATGCTTTAGATGGTGGAATGTTTATAGCAATGTATTTTTGTCTGCCAGACTTACCTTTCCTATTTTCTTTTTTAATTTTGCAGTGTGCAAAGACCCACCTTACAAAGTAGAAGAGTCTGGGTATGCTGGTTTCATATTGCCAATTGAAGTTTATTTTAAAAACAAGGTATGTAATCCTTACCCATTAATCTCTCAGAAGATCCTCTGTTAACCAAATAAATAATGTTTAAACTAATACATTGATAAAACTTCTAATGCTATATAATATTAAAGCTAAACTTGACTGTAGAATTTTTGTTACCACAACTCTTTAATCATAGAGGAAATGGCTATAAAAATAATTTCAGTAATATAAAGTCAGGTTATATAAAAATCACTAGATATTCCTTGGTAGAATGATTACCATTCTGAACAAGATTGGAGATGTTTGTATGGAAAAAAAGGGGAATTAGAGGTTTTCCAGATGTTCCTGGTCTTGCTTTCATATTTAGGATTACAAAAAAAATCCTGTATTATCTTTAGATGAAAAACATACATGATCGGTATATAAAGTTATTGCATTCTGAGGTATTATGGGTTCGACTGCATGGAACAGATGCCAGCACTCTATGACATGGATGATTGCTGAACCTCATGGGCTTTCCCTTATTCATGATCTGGTAGGTAGGAGGGTCCATCTCAGAAAGTAGTTAGATGTTGTAACATTATCTCATTCATAAGTAAACATTTATTCAGTGCTGGGCTTTTTGCAGCATTAGTTTTCTGGGTTTTGTTTATAAACATGATAGATGATTGTCTTTTTTCCTTGGGCTATACCTTTGGAGACAAGCAGGAGCCGAATCAGCAGCATAAGATGCAGTGGGCTGTGCGTGAGTGGGGAAGCTAGTACACCTACCACTAAGATCCCATGCCCGCCTGCCAGAGCTACTGCTTGCTGCTTATGCCCTGTAGTCATGGGTCAGTGATTTTGGTTACCTCCCAGGAAAGCATTCAGCCTCGTGTCAGGCCTGCAATAGTGCTTGCAGCTTTTAAATAATGCTGTTCCTTGCTTTTCATTCAAAGGTATCGTAGTTTCTAAATGTGCCCTAAAGTGAGACAGTTCACTTTCAAAACAAACGAAAAAGCAACCGAGAAAACAGAATTCTGTTCTTTGAGTCAATATTCCATTAAGTCTGGTCCTGCGGACAGTAGCAGCAGCAGCTCCTAAGAGCAGATGAGAAAGACGTTTCCCCAGTCCGCCAGATTTACACAAGCAGCGTCCCCGGAGTGCAGCCTAGGATCTTCTGTGCTGAATGGCTTCGGTGCACAGGGTCAAAGCAGTGACAGGCCACTCTTTAACACTCAGCACTTTCCACACCAACAGTGGCTTTTCCATGCGTTCAAGGCTCAGCCTTTCAATTCATCAAAGATTTCCGTGTGACTATAAAGCTACATTAATATCATCTCATAAAATAAGAATGTGTTAGTGACAGGGTATGTTTTATTTTTCATATTTTTTTCTCACTGTATGTGTCTACTTACCACACTTCTGTCATGTCATCTTTAACAAGTCTTCAACCCCTATTAATTAGGGTGTACACACACACACGTACACACGGGGCTGGGGGACAGAGACAGAAAGACACAGAAAGAGACAGACAGTCAGGGAGACACACAGAAAGACAAAGACATGCTTGGCAAGAACATTTTTCTGTACTAGTTTGGTTTCCTACTTTGACTTTGAGCAGAGGCTCAGTGCTTTCCTAGGTTTGCAAGAACTTTTGAGAAGTAGAATTCATCCCTATTATGAGATGTCTTAATACCTATTCTTTTTTTTATACCTGAATACTATTCTATTCATCTAAATAATTCACATTTTGATTTTCATTTGTGTGTTGATGGGTATTTGACTTGACTCCACTTTGTGACTCTTAGGAGTGAGGCCACTCTGAATAGTCATTTATTGGTTTTCATGTCAACCTGTGTTTTGAAATCCCCCTGGGATCATATAGTCCTATTATATGTATGTACTTATGCTTACCTTTTGGGGCAACCACTAATTGTTTTCAGAGTCACCATGCCATTTAGTGCATTTTATATTCCCTTTAGCAGTATTAAAAAAGTTTGAATTTTTCTAATGGATTTTATGTTCATTGTTTTCTTTTTAACTATGATTATCCTGGTAGTTGGGAAACCACTCTTCATTGTGGTTTTGATTTGCATTTCTTTGAAGACTTATGATGTTGAACATCTCTTCATATGCTTATTGTCCATTTATTTATATTCTTTGGAGAAATGCCTTTTCTTATTTTACAATGTGTTTGGAAATGATTGTGTTTATAAGAAGGCATTTGGAGCCTTTCTTCCCTTCATAACCACTGTCTTTTATTGCTGTGGATATTTAATTAATGAAGATGATGTTGGGCTTCTCGCATCCTGTCATACCCTCATAACTAGTGTTCTAATTTTATCCAGTGGTTAGATTATACTGTTGGAAGAGTCTAGGCCTTCACCCCCAAAGCGTTTCTCTCACAGAGTGAAGCCCTGATTTCCTGTGAGAGAGATTGTGACTGTGGGTACTCTCTGTCACTCAGGTGAATCTGATATTGCACTGCCTTCAGCTTGGACATAATCCCCGCACGTGGGAGGCAGTGGCAGGCAGAGCTTTATGAGTTTGAGTCCGGCCTGGCCTACATAGTGAGTGCCAGGCCAGCTTGAGTCGGGGTTGAAAGCATGTGCCACCACACCTTTTTAAAAGCTGTGGCATGTGAACTGCGGTGCTGCTTCTGATTGATGCAGGACTGTAGCGGACCCCAGGAACTTTTTTGTTTTGTATCCTGAAATGCAGTGCTAATGTTGATATCACCCCCTAATCTCAGATTCTGGCAGCTATTATTCTAGTCTTTTATTTTATAACTCTGGTCGCGTAACTATTTTAAATGCCTCTTGTAAATGAGTCATACCGTGCTTGTCTTCTGAGACTGGCTCATTTCATTTCGTGTAGCGTCCTTGCAGTCTAGATAGACACACTGGTTTTCTTCTGACTGAGCTGACTAATGTGTAAACTGTCTAGCAACTGTCGGTCATTTCTGCAGAATTTTCATTTCATTTTGAGTGTTTATTATTGTCCTTATTATAAGTATCTGTGGTCTCGAAGAGTGCGTGTGCACTGTAGAAATAGTTCCGTCCTCTCCCGGTCTTGGGCTTGCTCTGAAGAGTGTGTCTTCAATTCTGCTCATTGGTTGGAGACAGCAGAGTCAAGAGGGCTAGTAGAGTCTAGGTTGTTCTCTTGAGTCTCTGAGTGTTGTTTTGTATTTGAGTACAATAAAGCCAGCCTGTCTATGAAAAACATTTGTGTTTCAGAAGATAAAAAACAGCATTCACATTGAACCTCGTTCAGTCCTGGTGCTCTAGTTTGAAAAGACTCCATGCTTCTTTCTCTCAGTCTGTTCTCAGAGACAGTGTGTGGGAATGACAGGGACTGGAGCCTGTGTACAGTGAGGGGAAATCTGATGTCACCAAAGCAGATTGCCACTCCAAGGAACATGTTTGTCTTATATTTATAACAAATTCACATTTTTCTTATCTAGATTTGTTTTATGTGTTTAAGTGCTTGCATGTGTCTCTGTGTATCATGTGTGTGCTTGCTCCCCTCAGAGGTCAAAAGAGGCACCGGATACTCGGGAGCTGTAGTTATGGCTGCTCTTCCATCACCTGGAGTTATATGCTGCTGTGGGTCACCATTCACAGCCGGGAATCTAACCTGGGGCTTTGTAAGCTGCTGAGCCACACCTCTAGCTCCTTTTATTTGAACTTTGAGGAGTAATCTTTTCTGAGGAGGAAAACTTAACATCATATTGATGTCTGTCTTCTAAGCAGAGATTTCTAGTTGATCAGAACACAGCTCTATGGGCATATTCCCCTTACTAAATTAAAAAAAAAATAAGCAAGACCAAACAAACAAGCAAACACCTTTAAGAGAAAATTGCACCCGGGATTCAGAAGCACTTTTTTAGTCCGAATCCTTAGGTTTCTCTGAAAAGTAATGGCCTTTTGTTTTGTTTAAACCTTCTGAGGGCTCATAAGGTTACTACTACTGCTCCATTCTTCTATTCTTTGGTGGTGTTTAGTTATATTTGTCGATATATTTTTCTTTAAAAGTACACAGGAATGAATGTTTTTATGAAGAGAGTGTGAAATAAAATTACCAAATTACTTAACTCTACCTAATGATTGTTGAGTACATGATGTAACTATTTTCAAGTTTCTTTCCATGTGTTAAAACATGTTTAAAACATGTTAAAACATGTCGGCACAGAGCCTGACTGGGTTATGATATGTCATACTTTAATATCTTTCTGTGTATTTCCCTTAGTTTACTTATATATATATCTCCAAGTAATAATTTAAAATATCTAAATGAAGAGGCTGGAGAAATGGCTCAGCCATTAAGAGCACTTATTGCCTTTGTAGTGGACCTCAGTTTGCTTCCCCTTACCCACAACTCCATAACTCCAGTTAAAGGGGATCTTATGCCCTCTTCTGACCTTTGTGGGTATACATAGATACACTAAGATACCTACACATATATATGAAGTAAAATAAATAAATCTGTAAGATATCTGAATTATAGTCTGTGACAAAATGTAGCTCATTCTTAAGTTTTTCTATTGTAATCAGTGCACCATGAATACTTGCAGTCATATTTGAATATTTCTATTCAAGAGATTCTTAGTACTAGAGTCAAATATGATGGACATTTATTATTGCTAGATCTTACCAAATTGATTAAAATGTCTTTATCGATTATATTTCCAATTTCAAGGTTGACTACTGCTTGACTTCTTAATTCTAAGGTTCCATTGAATAGTTAACAATTTTGAGGTGAGATGAGACAAAATTATCATAATTCAGAGGGTGATAATTATGCTAGTGGAGGAGGGGTATATGAGAGATGCCTAATTCAGGTTGCATTGGGTGGGCTAGGACGACTCTACAGAGGAGCGTATACTCCGCTAGATCGCCATCTGTCAGTGTAGTCTAACATACTTAGCCTTGTAGGGAAATATAGCGGCAATGTTAGGTATGGGGGGAGCATTCTGTGATAAAACCAAAGTCATTAAGTACACAAAACATGTGGGGACTTCAAGAACTTCAGAAATGTGGAAGAAGGAGAGAATCTTGTAAGAAGGCAAATAAAATACAGGAAAGGTGCTGAAAGACTATGCTAGTTGTTGCTAGAAATGAGAATGTATCATTGAAAATGATGTGCCTTTAAAGGCTTTTTAAAAAAGTAATGGAATGATAATCAGATTTTTTTGCATTAGAGAAAAGTCAGTCACTTGTCATTATGGAGTGTAGACTGAGGCAAGCTTGAAAGCAGAGGACTGCAGGAGAAGTCGTGATGGTCTAAGCTGAAGTGAGTAGTTCCGGTGTCCAGAGAGGAAGACTAGGTAGATCTGGAAGAAAATTTGACTGAGATGAAGACGAAGGAAAGAATGGAGGATGAGTTTTATGAGCTTTAATGTTGATAAGCAATCACCACTACCTTTGTAAAGATAGTGGCATGGCAGCTGAGGGAGAGCTGGCCATCAGTTGTGTAAAGGAGGTATATTGAGACAAGAATCCCAGAGCCAAATTACGAAGGCTCTTCTGTAGCATATATTTCTCATTAGATTTTTAAGCTGATATCCATTGGAAACTGATGACATTTTAACCAAGGAATAAAAGTTAAGTAGACATTGGATTTCTATAGATCATTTTGAAGGCTGACTGACAGAAGTACTGAGAAGAATGCATCATTGGAAGGCCTAGCAGAAGTAGGATATGTGATAGTTTGGACAGTAGTCAGCAAGGCAGTAGGATGGAAGTCTTGACTTAGGTGCTGAAGGTAGAAGGAATAACATAGGTTTCCATTGGGTGGCTGTGTTTGTGGTGTGGTCTACTTGAAACACCAAGGGGAGATGGTGAGTTTATTCTTCTTGGTTTTCTCCTAACACAAATGAATTTTTTCACGTATTTGTAGATTGCTTTATATGTATTCCCAGAAGAATCCTTTTAAGAACTACTTTGACTCAACTGTTAAGTGTCTAGGACTTTTCTGTTCCATATGTGAATAAATCTTGTTTTTAAATTTTCTGCTTTTGCCTCTTAATTTCCTTCACCTCCAGGAAGAACCTAAGAAAGTCCGCTTTGATTATGACTTATTCCTGCATCTTGAAGGCCACCCACCAGTGAATCACCTCCGCTGTGAGAAACTTACTTTCAATAACCCCACCGAGGACTTTAGAAGAAAGTTGCTGAAGGCAGGAGGGGTAAGTGCAATCTCTTTAAAAACAAAAACAAAAAAACTTTCCTCTTAAAAATATTTCTTGCTAGTATGTGCATTGACATTCTGGAAGAGTTCAAAGAGCAAAATACAATAATGATTTAACTGTGGACCCGTGGTTTTGAATATAGAGGAAGACAAACCCTGAGGCAGGTGCAAATCTGAAATGACATCACTGGTTAGGACAGCCTTAACATCTCAACAGGTCAAGTGTTTTGACAAAGTTGTGTGTGTTACTTCTCCTAGGTATATGTGAACAAACACCTTCATCCTTGAGAAGGTGCTGAAAACAGGCCAAAGGAATGATCCTGCCCAAGAGAACTCAGAACCATTGAGTGGCTGGAGTTACTTTTATGAGCCTGGTTAATTCAAAGATATCAAAAATCCCAGCTAAACAAAGACAATAGTAACTCATGAAATCCACGTCTGTAGAGCTCCCTAGTCTAGCTGAGGTCAGCTCTTCAAGAGAGTCTCTTCTTCATGAGCAATGACTTGCCAACTACTTATAAAATCTTAGAGATGGGCTTGTGAGTCTTGTTTTATGCGCTTCTCGAGTCTTGTGACTCTGTTTCCTCCCACTTGGAGGTGTGTTTGAATATGGGAGAAATATCTATGTAACAAAGTCCAAAACAAGCAACAAAGTGCACACAGTTAAAGACTAGGATCTGCACTTGTCCATGTCAGTTTATAGAAGGCTTTTGGAAATGTTGAAGGTTATGTGAAAAATTACTTAAAATGGAGTTGCTGTCCAAATTTTCTTTATTGTAATGAAGGGAAATATATTTCATTCATATAACATGTTTGAGTTCTTTGCATATCTATTTTTTATTTTTGAGCTGTAAGTAGAAGAAATTTCTTTTAGATGTAGGTACTGGGTGAGATATTTTTGTCCTTGCACTTGGTATTGCTGGCACAAGCATTTAAGATATTTGTTTTTAGCCAGTTCAGTGACACAGGTAAAGATGATGAATTGACTAAAATCTGCTGTAAGATTAGTGTCGCCCAGGCCATCAAACCCCTTCTTCAGATGAGCTTTCTCAGTCAGCGTGTGTGCACAGCTCAGAGGCACGGCAGATCCAGTTCAGACGTAGGCTTGAAATTTGTTCCTCACTCTCAGGTCCTCTGGATTTAGCTTGTCTGGAAGGGTTCTATGTAGTTTTGTAGCCATGAACTTAACATTTTCTTTAGCATTTATAAGCTCGTTACACATCACTATAAACTCTGCCTTAGGGCTGTGTAGGACACAGTGGATTCTTTTGGTGCCATGCTCTTCCCCTTAATGGGTCATAGACAGTTACTCTGCAAACTGTTGCACAGCTTTGAACCCTGGCGCGAGAAGTTGCCTGGCTACACAATTGTGTGGCCATTTTGAATTATGTGGACCCATTTCTTTTCCAGCCCTGTTTCACTAGGTTTTTGTCCTTTTGATTGAACTGCTAAAAATACATTTGAAGCTATGAAGTGTTTTTTACCGTGTTTAGTTCTTCACTATACTAGTAAGTTTGTAGGGGATGGGTTAAATAGGTTTTGGAGAGCAGCCTCAGAAACAAGGAAGTGTGTGTTCCTGACAGAACGAGCTTTTATAACATGTTAAAATTTGGGACTTTATTGCTTCTTGGCAGTTTGTATAAGTGTAAAAATGGGGAATTAATATACGTTTATTAAGAAAGTTGTTTTTTTAATGAGCCTTTTGAATTGTTTTAATCATTAACAAGAGTGTAGTGTAGAAGCAACCTATCTACCTGTCCTTAGCAGTAACGTGGTCTGTTATAATTCCTGGTACCCTCAGTAGTTTTATTTTTATGAAGGTGATGCCTTAGGCTTTTTGGATATGTTGTTGGATAAGTAATTGAATTTGTGGATTATGGGACTTGAAGTTATCAGGTTAATGATAATGGTTATAGGGAAAGGTAACTATGATGTAGAATATTTTATAATAAGCACGTAATCCCAGAATGTGGAAAGGTTAGAGGTAGAGATAAGGCAGTGCCACATCCTGGTGTAGTGTTTATTTTGGTCATTTGTTATACTGGTGTTTTTTTCCCAGTGACCTCTGTGACTTCTAACTTCCTTCTTTGTGTTTCTCCAAGTAGCCTTTTAAGCCTGGGGATATTTTCCTATTAAACTTCAAATGTGTCTTGATAAGTTTAAAATGTTTGCAATGTGGAATATTCCTTGTAGAGATCATTTGGCATGCTTACTAATTTATTTAAGGGATTTACTCCAGTGAGTTTCATTACAAGGAAAAGCTACAATTTCATTTGAAATCACCGTATCTATAGATTCATCTTATATGTGGAGATTAAATTGTCTTCTATGAAAATGTTCAAAGCACTTGTGGACCAATCACACATTTTTTTGGCTAAGAATATTTTTAACTGACATTGCAAAATTTACTGTTGTCTTAGTGTTAGCACAATCTAAATGCTACAGATTTTTTGAGACATTTTACTTTCATTGAAAATTTTCTGTTCAGATAGGTTCTTTTTTTCCTTTCTAATGGCTATATTTTGGGGGATGGCAGACAGGGAAGGTGCTGTGTTCTTTATTCCTAAATACTGCATTAATATATGTGGCAGATGTGTGTGTGTGAAAGAAACGAGACCTTCCTCATTTGTACTAACGTAATCATTATGAAGAGCTTCAGGCATGAGTGAGCCTTTATGGCTTTCTTAAAGTTCATCTATTTGATGACCCTTTTCACCTGAGAAATTTTTTAATAAATTGTTTTTATTTTACATCCTGGTCACTATTTCCCCTCCTCCCAGTCCTTCCTTCCATCCCCACTTTGTTCCCACCCCCCAGTCCACTCCTTCTTCATTTCTGTTGAGGACAGGCCCAGTCTCCTATGAGTATCATGGCATATCAAGTTACAGTGAGACTAAGCTCCACCCATGTATTAAGGTTGGGCAAGAAGAGCCAGTATGAGGAAAAGGGTCCCAAAAGCCAGTAAAAGAGTCGGAGACAGCCCCTGTTCCCACTGTTAGAGTCCCATAAGAGGACCAGGCTACACAACTGTCACATATATGCAGAGTGCACAGGCCAGTCCCATGCAGGCTCCCTGGTTGTCAGTTCAGTCTCTGTGAGCCCTGATGAACCATCACCTGAGAGACTTTTAGTTGTGCTTGGAATGTAGATATATAACATAGATGAGTAAATGAAAATTACTGATAATAAATCATAGAGAAGTATATTTTAAAACGTGGATTCAGAATGCGTATAATTTTGCCACTTATTAAGGACTAAGTAAGATTTGCATATTGAGATGAAGGTATTTCATTATTTTTACATGAAGAATTGAATCTTGGCCAAATGGTTTGCATGAAAGAACTTAGAGAATCTTAAACATTTTTCTAGAGTTCACCAGTCTTTTGATTTTATAGTAGTGAATATTGAGAATGCTGATTTATATAAATAATATATCATGGCAGAAATATGTATCTATTTCAGAAATCATTTGGATTCTGCCCTAATCTCAAACCCAAGTCCATTAGTTTTTTTTGAAAATGAAACTCAAGCCAGAAACTCAAATAGCAACAATTTCACCACAACACAATACGACTCAAATATATTAGGTATATTAATTTGATACTTAATGTGCTGAGGTATGATCATAAAAATACTGCTATGTTTCAATAGCAACAGAAAAATTTGGTGTGTCCAGTGAAATCACATTAAGCATTGGTGTTGCGTGGTGTGATGTACCCGCAATGTTAAGTGCTCATGTTCTATGTTCAGGACTACAAGGAAGCTTTGCCCTGTAACACAGGCATGTGCTTCCAGAATTACTGTAGATTGACTACGCATATGATTTTGTAGTAATTTTTGTTCATTGCATACCAGAAACTGCATGCAGATATATATATGTATATATATACATATATATATACATGTATATATATGTACATATATGTATATATATGTACATGTGTATGAAGGCTGGAGGTTAATGTCAGGCAGGCATCTTCCTCAATTCTCTACCCGACCTTTTAAAATTTAAGAGTACCCATCTTATATTATATGAGTGATTTTCTCACACGTATGTGCCTGGTATCCAGAGATCAGAAAAAGACACCGGATCCCCTGGAATGGGAATTATGGGTGGTCGTGAATTGCCGTGTCGGTGCTAGGAATCAAACGCAGGTCCTCCTTAAGAACAATACGTGCTTTTAACCGCTGAGCCATCTCTCCAGCCCCTCTACCTTTCTTGTGAGCCAGGTTGTCTGCACAATCCTGAGCTCAGTGATTTTGTTCGACTAGTTGGCAGCAAGCCCTGGGGGTCCTCTTTCTCTAGTTCTCTAGCATTGGGGTTACAGATAAGCACCACTCTGCTTGACCTTTCTATGTTGTGGGCACTGGGGGTCTGACCAGATTTCTGTACTAGCTCAGCAATACCAATGGTACCATTATTACAGCTCTGAAAGCTTTTTACTGTTGCCAGATTTCCATGGCCGGGACATTCAGTTACATGACCCACTATGGGCTCGCCACCCACAGTTTAAGAAGATGGGCGGTAGTCATTGTTGGCTTCTTCTCTTTCCCTTTTTTCTTTAATGCCGAAAGTACACAGTGCTATTAAAAGTTGAACTCGGCTTTTCTTGAGATCAGAAAGGTTACTTTTAGAGCTGGAAAGCCTCTTAAAAAAATGTTTTTCAGCCCTTAGAAGAAAACGATTCCAAAGAACTTTTGCCAGAAGAATCTTGAAAACTTGCAGATTTTTTTCTACATAATCATCTTCAAATCAACAGCTAGATGTCAAATTTCCCTCTTACTAGATTTCTTTCTTTCTTTTTTAACATCATAACTGTTTTCCAAACTGTCTCAAAGAAATCTTCATGTACATTTTCCTGGTGAGAAAAGTATCTTGTGTTTCTCTACTGAATCACCCCTTAATATTAAAAATTTCTTTTTATTAAAAGAATAAAAGTTTCTGGTCCAGGTGCACTTGGATTTAGGTATCATTTTCTGAGATTATTGAAATACAGA